GGCCACCCTGCCGTCCAGTCGCGAGCCAGCGGGACTTCTGTGAGCAAGAAAGGCTCTCGAAGGGGAACAGGTGCAGTGAACAATTTGTAAGTTTGTTTGTTTTAAACATATGGCCCTGGCTGGTTGGGCTCAACGGTTAGAGCATCGGCCCATGGACCAAAGAGTCGCAGGTTCGATTCCAGTCAAGGGCACGTACCTCGTTTTGGGTTCATCCCGGCCCTGGTTGGGTCGCGCGGGAGGCAACCAGTCAATGTGTCTCTCACATCGGTGTTTCTCTCTCTCTTCCTCTTTCCCTCCCGCTGCATCTGATGATAAACAGAAAAATGTCCTCGGATGAGGATTAAAAAGCAATCATAATAAAAAACCATATGACCAGCCAATTGTTTAAGACTAAAATAGATCTAGATGAACCAACAGCTTGCAGTTAAACTCAGCTTATTTTTGCAGCCATACCAGCATCTGGTCTGACTTGGGACCGAAGGGTACGCATAAAGCCACTAGCTCGTATCTGTTCCAAGCTGGAAGGAGGCCCTGGCAGCTCTGTGAGCTGGGGTGCACCGGCTCGGTCCACGGTCTGGGGTTCCTCCCAGGCTTTGGGGGCAACCCTGTGCAGAGACCCCAGCTTCGTCCTTCCCGTCATTTCTGTAGCTCCTCAAATCCACAGCCTGTCCTTTGAACGTATGTGTTGAATACTGAACTCATTTAACAGGTGTCCCGTGACCTCGAGCTGGTCTTGAATTTCTGGGTACAGCTGATGCATCTCCCTCGATTCCTATTCTTCACACCCTCACGCCAGGACTGAGGACCCACACGCCACAGGGGCTCGGTCATTGCTTGTCCAAACAAGGCAATTCAGGCAGGAATGAGAACATTTAAAAAGGAGCAGTCGGTCTGTGTGACTTAAATGCACTTTTGTGTGCTGAAAACATGTATGTGTGTACATCGCTGCTGGAACCACACATCTGACTCCATTCAGACTTGATTCTGTGATTTTCAGTGGGCGTTAAATCTCTTCCACTTATCAAAGTATGTACCTGATAGAAATCTCACAAACACTCGCTGATATTTTTTGAAACATGTTAGGTGTTTCCAAAGGAAGATATAAATAATTAAATAGTTAGCTAAAAGGCTCCTTTATCAAATTGTTCAAAACGTATCATAAGTCCTGTGACAGTGGCATCAAAGAATTAGACGCATGTCATCAAGTATGATGAAATAAAATCGATGCTAAAATTAAAACAGAGGAAAACAGCTCTGGTTCCAAATTCGGTGCCTTCAGTCACCGGGGTTGGCGTCTAACCGAAAGAAAGCAGGTGTCTCAGCGCAGAGCCGTCACCGGCTGCCGTCTCCAGCTCGGATCAATGAGGGGCGTCCACAGACCTGCATTATTTCCCGGGCCCCCGCCTCCACCTCCTCAGTGCAGCCGCTGGGATCAAAAGGATGCACGTCTGTCCCGCGTGGAGGCGACCACGCTGCCGGGGAGGGCGCACCCCGGAAATGGGTCATCCGAGCTGGGGGGAAACAGTCGATGTCCCCCCGCCCTTCTTCACTGAGCACAGATGAACCGTCTGGTTACAGAGGTAAGTCATGCGAGTGACAGAAATAAAGCTGGCCCAGGTGCCCGGGTCCCCAGATCCAGCACCAGGGATGAAGAGCGACAGCAGTTTTGAAACCCACGCGCGTGCGGCGGACTGTTCTCCTCACGCCCGCGTGCTTCTCAGGGTCACCCCAGCACGTCGGCGGGACGAGCAGGACGCCCCCCGGTAAGGCTCTCAGCCCTGGGGACCCGTCCGGTCACCGCCGATTCCTCCCTCCGGGAGCATCACGGAGGGTGTGGCTCTGAGCCCGCTCCCCCTCGCTCTGCAGAGCCCTGTCGCTCTGAAGAGCCACCCGCACCAGCAGGTCCCCCGTTTCCTCCTTCCAGCCCTCTCCTCTGCGGGGCCACGTTGGACCCAGGATTCTGAGGAGCCCGCCTGCCCGCATCCTGATCCTGGGGCCAGGCCACCCACGTCTGAACCTCCGCTTGGCAAGTGCTCACTGATGTGACTTAGGGTGAGCGCCCTGCATGTCCCGTCCCGTCCCCTCACCTGCTGAGTGGGACGTGATGATGACAAGCTGCTGGGGTTGTTGGGAAGGTGGAGGGATTAATGCATCCCGGTCCCCAGGAAACTTCCCACGGGAGGGGCAGTTATTGCCAAAGTCCTACCCCGAGGTCCTCACCCCCAAACACAGCCTGGGCTGGCCCTCCTCTGCCCCTGCCCAACACCGAGTTTCTGTCCTCATTTCTCTAGCCTGTAGCAACGGGACCTTTCCAAACCAATTATTGTAGCTTCCTCAGGCTTCTCCAGTACGCCCCCCTTTCCCCACGAGCCCTAATCTCTTAGAGGGGAGCAGAGAAGGAACGAGTGCAAACAGTGACGCTCTCTGATTTAAAAACTATAAATTTGCCACGGAAGTTTAGGCGTATCCGCGACGCAGACTTCTGAAAGGTACTGCTCCGTCTCCTGCACTTAAGATTGTAATGGTAACGAAAGATCTCCTGAAAGGTTTCCACGGGCTGAAGTACTTCACAGGTAGGAGAGACTCACGAGGAGATGATGTCTTTTACCGCATCTCAGACATCTTCCAGAATCTTCTGTACTGCGTTCCAGCCGGCCTCTCGTAGTTGAGACCTAACCCTCCCGCTGAGCAGCTCGTGGGAGCTCCTTAAGGATCGGGGTGGCCGAAAGGCACCGGGACACTTGGCAAACATTTAACAGTCAATATTCACAGTTTATTTTAGGCCCCTCGGCCATCAGCTAGATCGGTGTTGGCTTACTCAGCACAGTGGGGCGAACCCAGAGACGGCACCCACTTCATTTCCTCTTATTTCTAGGAAAGCGGCAGAGGCATTTTTCTGTACAGCTTCATGTTTGTTCGACGGCAGACCAGTTAAGCCAGGGACCCTGCTGTTTATCAGGCGGCCCCAGCTGGCGTCTGTGGCTGGTGACCTCTTCGGAAGACGATCATTCCTCGTCTGTCTTAAAGGCTCTGTGGGTTCTCTCTCTTTTAAAAGTTGACATCTGCCACCCGGCCGGTGTGGCTCAGTGGTTGAGCATCGACCCTGCACCAAGAGGTCGCCGGTTCGATTCCCGGTCAGGGCACATGCCCGGGTTGTGGGCCGATCCCCAGTGGGGGGCGTGCAGGAGGCAGCCAGTCGATGTTCTCTCTCATCCATGTTTCTGTCTCCCTCTCCCTTCTTCTCTAAAATCAATAAAGAAAAAAAAAGTTAAAGTAAGATGAACACCTGCCATTTGTTGATCACTTCCAGAGCCACAGTAAGCCCTTTGCAGTGGGATTTAATCTCCACAGCCCTGAGGCAAGCCCTCGTACGGGCCCAGCTTGCAGAGGAGGAGGTGGCAGGGGCTGACCAATCCCGTCCTGGCTACTCCTCAGGTCCGCGGTGCAGACGGGACTCCACCCAAGAGCCGACGTCCTGCCCACCCTGCCCAAACCCTCCGGCGACTCTCCACTTGATCTCACAGGTGGTCGGAGGAGGAGCCTCCGTGTGCCCAGAGACAGCCGCCCTGGCTGCGTGTTCACGCCGCTGCCCATGTGAAGGTGAACCTGAAGGTCACGCGTTACACCTTCTCGGGGCCAAATCACTTCCCTCACAGCCGCCACACTGGGAGCGCGTCCGTTCTCCCCAGTTTCTCCTCACTATTCCCCCTGAAGAGTTCGTTCTCCGGGGCATCACTCGAGCTGGGCCGTGTGACTGTGGGGGGGAGGGGCAGAGGGCAGGGATTGGGGGGGGGCAGTGAGACATTGAAAAGCTGCGCGTGGGAGCCTCCCTTCAGTGAAGGTACCGTCTCCAGGACGTGAGGGACAGCGCCTTAGTGGGCAGTGTGTGCTGGGAGCGAACGCGGTCCCGCAGGAGGGGGGCAGGGTTCACGCCAAGTCCCGCAGGGTCACACAGGGACACAGAGAGGACGCAGGAACGTGGGGCCCAGTCATCCCCACAGTCCAGGGGCCTGGGGCTAAGCCCACTCTAACCAGGTCAGTACGTGAACAGACGGCCACACTGACATCCCCCCGCCCCAGACGGCTGCAGTTTTACACAGTGCCCAGTGCTGCCAAGGACATGCGGCAACCAGAACCTCATACAGCACCGCTAAAAACACAATGTCCTGCCCTGGCCGGTCTGGCTCAGCAGTTAGAGCATCGGCCTGTGGACTGGGGGTCGAGGGTTCGAGCCCTGGTCAAGGGCACATCCCTGGGATGCAGGTTTGATCCCTGACCCCGGCTGGGGTCGTGCAGCAGGCGACCAGTCGATGTGAGAGAGACAGGCATGGGTGTGTGTGTGTGTGTCTCTCTCTCCTTCCACTCTGTCTAAAAATCAAAGGGAAAATATCCTGGGTGAGGATTCACAACAACAGAAAGAACACATGCTTCAGCCACTGTCCAGAGCCCGGGCATGTCTTACAAAAGTAAACAAACACCTGCCATATGGCCCAGCAATTCCCTTCTTGAACGGCAGGGGTCTGAGCTACGCAGGTCCACTTACACGTGGTTTTGTTCCAAGAAATACCCTGGGAAAGTATTTGCAGATTTGCAACAATGAGAAAACACTTGCGGGTGAACCTTACCATTTTCTGATGACCAGGGCAACCGGATCACATTTCCAAAGGGAGCCATATTCACACACTTGAAACATTCTATGAAATTCATTGATTACGACCACAGTTATATATCTTAGACAGAATAAAGTCGTGGGAGGAACGGGGGTGGAGTAAGTAAATGAAATGGCTGAAATCTATTTCTAAGTCACAGTAAAGTCTCTATCAGGATTCAACCCTACAACTGAAATAGAAATTAAAAACAGCAAGCGGAGCATTCACTTCATAGTTAAGTTGTCACTATCGTATTATTTTGGAAGTGTGCAAAAGTAAGAAAAACATTTTTTTTTTCCAAGAAGAAAAATGTTTTCAAATGACCTTTGATAAAATGGAAAATTGGCTTACCTCTTCCCTGTGATTCTTAATCGGCATGCACAGAATGCTCTGGGTCCTGTAGCCTGTAATTTGGTCAACCTCTGCATTGAATCGAGGATCCTAGTAAGGAAAAGGAAATTCAATTTGATGACTGACCTGGTCAAAACCTGATTTGATTTTTCTGATTTATAAGATGAGAGAAATCTAAACTTTGACTTACCTTGTAGCTCTGAATGACAATTGTATTGTTATAAAAGGCATTAAATCACTTAAATGAATATCATTGCTGACCAAGATAAATTTAAGTTCTTTTGAGAAGCTAATATTTATGAGAACCCAAAAAAATATATAGTCCCCCCCAAAATGTTCGGAGATAAAGGAAATCCAAAACATTAACCAATTTCGACAGCCTGACCTAAATTCAGGCAAAAATGGGAACTCTCCACCCCTGCAATTCAAGTCTCCTCTCCCCACCTCGCTGCCTCCTTCTCCCGAGCCTCCCATGAACAGCAACTCTGCACTGAAACTTCTCCTGGGAAACCCGGTGCCCCCAAAACGACCTTTCCATGTCGCCTTCACTTCCCTTGGGATGACTGCTCATAGATTTCCTCAGCATCCTGTTCTCCTATCGCCAAGTGTTCCTAAGAATTTAAATCCTTTCTTCCTTTTTCCTATATAGGAAAAAGGCCTCGATCAGACTAGAAACAACTCCTTCATCTTTTGAATGCCTTTCCCCTTTTACAAAGTGCACCATGCACGCCCATCACCACGGACTTGGAGAGGTGCCGCCGGTCTCAATGTGGGCGAAGAGAACAAGGTCCCGGCTCCGTGGCACTAACTGGGGACCGGGGAGAAGGAAGGCAAGCTGTAAATGCCGCAAGGGGCTTTTTCTGGTTCGTCAGTGTGTCCCCAATACCAGCACAGGAGCGCCAGAGCATCCGTTAAGGTAATGAAGGAGTTCATTCACAAATGGCATCGCTGGTATCATCGGTGGTCATGTTACCGTTTAAAGCAAATCTTGCAGGTGGTGGGGGGGGTACATGCTAGAGGAAGCGGCTGGACACATGTGGGGCAGGATGAGAAGGGAAACGCACACACGGGACGGGAACACGGGAACGAGGTTCAAGGCAGCCCTGGGAAGCTATATGCTCAGCCTAATAATAGCCCCGGCTCTGCACAGCCTGCTTCTGGAATTCCCTGCGGGACGCATGGAAGAGCAACACTGGAAAATCCGCATTGTTGAGGGTCATTTCTGTTTTTTTTAAATGAGCCTGAAGTCATGCAAAGCCAACGCTGCACACGGAGTAGATGATGGCACCACATTCGCTCCACTGGGGCCAGAAATGAGGCCAGTTTCTTCCTGAGAGAACCGAGCTTGGCACTCAAGACCATCGCAAAAGAAAAGTGATAACATAGCGGGCGATCAAGTTCACCACCACCACACCAGTGTTACACGAAAGGCTGAAGGGTCTTCTTGAAGAAGATAAAAAACAGGAACAATAACACGGCAGTAAACACTTCCCTATCAACAACTGAATCTACCAACCACATGAACAAGCAGAACAGAAACAGTAACGTGGATGCAGAGAACTTTTTGTTGGTGGCCAGATGGGAGAGGGTTTGGGGGATGGGCAGAAAAGGCGAAGGGATTCAGAAGTACAATTTGGTTGTCAGACTGACTGAGGAACCTTAGAGGGAAGGGGGAGGGGGCGGGAAGAGATAAACTAAGGAGCTGATATGCATATATGCGTTATCAGTGGACACAGACCACAGTGTGGGGAAGGCAGGAGGGGGCAGGGAGAGAGAGGAGGGTGTCAAGGGGGGGAAAAGGAAGAGACATCTATAATATACTTTCAACAAAAAAGATAAATTTTTAAAATGTTATGACGGCGCTGGCCGGTTTGGCTCAGCAGTCAGAGCATCAGCCTTTGGTCCAGAGAGTCCCAGGGTTCAGTTCCTGCTAAGGGCACGTACTTCGGTTGCAGTTTGTCCCCAGCCCCGGCTGGAGTCGTGTGGGTGGCAACCACTCGATGTGTCTCTCTCACATCGATATTTCTCTCTCTCTCTCTGTTTCTCCCTCTCTCCCTCCTGCTCTATCTGAAGATAAATGCTAAAATGTCATCGGGTGAGGATAAAAAAAAAAGTTATGACAATTTCACAGAACAAAGTGAATATTAATATTAAAAATTGGCTTGGATTTTAACTAAAAAAGAAAGAAAGGAAATGCCGTTATGAAGATGTTCTCTTCCCCTTTTTATTTATTTAGTTATCTATTTTTTTCTTTTGGTACATGCCCCTAGCAAGAACCGAACCCGGGACTTTCTGGTCCGCAGGCCGACCCTCCAACCGCTGAGCCAAACTGGCTAGGGCCCCTTCCCCGTTTTAAATAAAAGGAAAAATTTAAGTCGAAAAAAATAAAATATAAAATAAAATGGTGTATTAATATCTTATTTTATAAGTAAACCCTGCTGTGTTTTTGCTTTTTTCTTGTAAACATGCTGAAAGCTATATGGAGACAGAAAACCCTGGCTGATGTTTCTCAGAAGCAGGTCTTCAATCACATCCTGTATTGTAAAGTACCCACAGAAAGCAGACAGATGAATTAAAGAAGTAACAAATTAACCTGTCCAGTGAATTGTTCTATAAGTTAATATCAGAATATGAATAAAAATGCATCATCAGCGATTATTTGGGTAATAAAGATGTCAATGACAAGACCAAATTATAAAGAAAAGGTTAAGCCCCTGCCTGACCAAGGCTGCGAGTCAGACTGGAACCAGCAGGACGTTTCAGAGGTTTTGTTTGTGCGGAGGGGAAGGTCACATCAACGGCACTCAGGATTCCACGCTTCACGCGTGGGGGGGCGTCACGCACCTTCCCGCTCACGTCGGGATCCGCGCGTGGCAGAGAATGTCCCTAACAACGCTCACACACCCAAGGCCACACACTCAGAGCCTCTAGGTCCCGGAACACGAAACACACGGGGCCCTCCTGGGACCGTGATTACTGCTTCCACAGGGGGCGAGAACAGCAAGGTCAAAACACAACCCTTGCCACCCACTGGCCCTGCTCGCCCCCTGCTGGCACCAGAAGACCAGACAAAGCTCTGGGGGCGCAGGGACACCGCACACCACGACACACACCACTGTGCGTGGGGGAGGGGGCGTGCTTCTTCCCGGGCATCTTCCTGCTGGGAGGGCGCTGGCCCCCGGAGGAGCTGGTCTCCAGCTGGAACAGCAGGGGACCAGCTTCCACAGCGCCATCTGCAGGGCCCTTGGGGTTGGGAGGGGGTAGGAGGAGTGTCAGACAGGGGGCTCTGCACTTCAGATGTGCCAAGAGAATGAGCAAAACTACCTACTGCCCCTGGAGGGCAGAACGTGGCACAGTCAGGGAAAGGGTTAGACCCTGGGCCCCAGCCCGCTCAGCAATGTGGGCGTTCAGCGGGGACTCAGAGAGCGGCCCGAGCAGCGAGGACCGTGCCCTGGATTCATTTGCTCAGGGACGGTCCACAGAAGGGCTGGCCTCTATTCTTCCACGATGTGTGTCAAGGAAGACAAAGAAACAGTGAGAGCCACCTCCAGATTTAAGGAGACTGACGGGACATAACAGGGGTGTGACAGTTGTGATCCTGGATGAGATCCTTGATCGGAGGAGGAAATGAACCACGAAGGACATTAACGGGCAATTGGCCAAATTTGACTATAGACTTTTAGATAATAGCATTCTATCATCACATTTCCTGATTTGTTTTTAATCCTCACTCGAGGATTGTTTTTAATCCTCACCCTAGGATATTTTTCCATTTATTTTCAAATAGAGTACGAGGGAGGGAAGGGAGGAGGGGAGAGAGAGAGAGACATCGATTGGCCACTTCCTGCAAGACCCCGACCAGAGCCAGGAACCAAACTGCAATCAAATTAAACTCATGACTCTGGTTTGAGGACTGACACTCTAACCGTTGAGACAAACCGGCCAGGGTGTGTGTGTGTGTGTGTGTGTGTGTTTAATTGGTTCTTAGAGAGAGGGAAGGAGAGAGTGAGAGAAACATCGATGCCAGAGAGAAAGATCAACTGGTTGCCTCCTGTATGCACCCCAATCGGGGATCGAACCCGAAACGCAGGTGTGTGACCTGACTAGGAATCAAACCTGTAACCTTTTAGTGTTCATGACAGTGCTCCAACCAACTGAGCCACCCGGCCAGGGCTAAAATGTCCTGATTTTGATAAATGGATTACAAGGGTGTGAGAGAATGTTCTTGTTGAAAAATATACTGAAAATTTACTGAAATATTTAGTACAGATATCTCCGACGTATTAAATGACTCAGAAAAGATCACATGCATATATTACTTACATAGAGAAAAAACCGATAAAGCAAACGAGGCAAAATGTAACTGGACAATCTGGGTAATGAGTAAGTGGAAGCTTCTTATAAGGGTCTTGCAACTTTTCTGTAAATTTGAAACTATGTAAAAAGAACAAAAAACAAAAAAATAACATGACAGACTTGCCAAGTCATAGGCTGGTTTTCTTCCAGAGTGGCATCCTAAGACAATGCCTAAAGATAATGAGAATATTGAGCAAAGACAGATATAGCAGCAGTTCCCAAACTGTGTTCCCTGGGGCACAACGGTGCCATGATTCATCAAAATTAAAACAGTTGCACTCTAGCCAGTTTTGTTCAGCGGTTAGAGTGTTGGCCCGCGGACCAATGAGTCACGGGTTCGATTCCAATCAAGGGCATGTACTTCGGTTGAGGTCCATCCCTGGCCCCGGTTGGGGCAGGAGGCAACCAGTCGATGTGTCCCTTTCACGTCGATGTTTCTCTCTCTCTCTCTCTCTCTCTCCCTTCCTCTTTTTCCTTCTCACTCTATCTGAACAAAAATGGAAAAATGTCCTCAGGTAAGGATAAAAAAAATAAATTAAAGCAGTTGCTAGGGTCATGTCTTCCTGCTAAAATTCATTTTGGAAACACTTGAACGCACCGGAAATCCATGCGAGAGCCGATGTTTCTGGACTGATCCTGAAGTCGGAAGCGGGGCCTGCTTGCAGGAGCGAGGAAGCCCCCCAAGTCTTCTCCCCGGAAACCAGGGTGCACAAGGAGTGCCGTCCCCGGGAAACAAAAGAAGGCCCCGGTTTGCGTTCCGGTTGACCGGGGAGGAAAAGGGCTGTGTTGACCATGGGAATTCTCTGACAGGGGACATGTTAGGGGGCTGATGGCTCCCACAGGCCGTGCAACTAGGGGTTCAAGGACATGGTTAACTTCATAAGTCCACTTGGCTAGGCTGAGGGATCCCAGACAGCGGGGGACGGTCGCTGCGGGGTGTTCTGGGCGGCGGTCTGCAGGAGAGGTAGCATCTGAGTCCGAAGGGGAGCAGAGGTGGTCACCGTCAGCGGGCACCGAGCAGTCTGCCGAGGCGGCGGGGCGCAGGGGGAAGGGCAGGCGCTCTCCGCCCCTGCGCTCTGATACACAATAGTGTAGAAACTGGGTGATGCCTACTTTGGAAAACGCCAAACACATGCCCGCTGCTGCTTCGGTCACCCCGTGTGAACACCTTCTGACCAACACATCCTGGGCCACCTTCCAGAAAGCGCAAGAGTGGCGGGCGGACGCGGGAGACACTGTGTGACTGATCGTGCGTGGGCAGCACCTGCCCGCCACTCTCGTGGGGACCTGTGGCCTCGCTGAGAACTGCTGTCAAAGCCGGTGGGTCTGTCTTGCATCTTAAGTATATGGATGTGTTATTTTATTAGTAATAAACGAGTTGAGTTCTCCAATTTATATCATTCTGTTACAAAGTTTTAACAGTAGCCCTGGCCGGTTTGGCTCAGCGGTTAGAGCGTCGGCCTGCGGTCCGGAGAGACCCGGGTTCAGTTCCCGCTAAGGGCACGTACCTCGGTTGCAGTTTGTCCCCGGCCCTGGTTGGGTTGTGCGGGTGGCAACCACTCGATGTGTCCCTTTCACGTCGATGTTTCTCTCTCTCTCTCTTTCCCTCCCGCTCTATCTGAACAAAATATCAAAAAAAATGTCCTCGGTGAGGATTAAATAAATAAATAAAAATAAATAAATAAATAAATAAATAAAGTTTTAACAGTAAATTAAATGTTGGTTTTTCTCACAATGAACTGATCTGCGAGACTGTTGTATTATGTGGAGCTTCCCCCTGAGCACGATTATACTTCGTGGTCGCCCTGCGGTTCCCACTGTGACATTACACACTTCAAGAGTGTTCCGCCGTCTAATGAGCTCCGGAAACACGGCTATCAAGTGTCCTTTACGGTGCAGGTGTGAGACTCAGAAAGCGGAGCACGGATTGGCCTGTTCTGACTACTGTCACAAAGGCTACGAGACAGTAATAAGCTTATTCAAATTACTGGGGGGCCGACTTCCACAGTTCATACGAATGTAAATTATATGTCACAGATCAACCACACAACTTTTAATGACATTCGTGGGACACATTCCTGCAAGGTCACTGTAAACACAGGTCAAAGGTGTCAAAGGCACCCGGGGTCAGGTGGCAACACAGGCATCTGGGGCTGAGAGGCTTCCCCTGGAAGCAGGACAGGCTGAGGACACGGGCCCTCCCAGGCAGCGTCCAAGGGTTAAGTAATCCCCAACTGCAGGACGAACATCACACCGCCGGCGTTTACGGACGGGAGCAGGTGACAAAATGCACGTAAGTGGAGAGATGCTCAGGGCGGGAGAGACTTGGGACCACGCGGACAAAGGAAGGCGCGCTCAGCAAAGCCGAGGCGTATTTATGGTCCTTCTGTCCTGGGGACGCTACTGCCACTGAGAAGCGGGAACCCAGCTGTCACCGAGCGCAGGAAGAGAATTCTTCAGCTGTGTCCTGAACACCCTTGGTGCAGCTACGGGGCAGCGTTACTACAGAGGACAGAGGCGGTGGAGACCGCTCCAGGAGGAGTCGCGTTTGCACAGATCGCTGGTTCGAAGATGTCAGACCTGGTCTGCTCACACCGCCCTCCCCCTCAGCATCCTCACCAGGGACTCTTGTCTAAGCACTGGCCCCGCTTTGACGCGGAGTCACCCTGGGCTCTCTCTGACCTCTACCTCCTCCCCGCTGCCAGGTCCAGCGGTTCCTCTCTCACCTGAAATCTGCTCCCTCTTCGCCCTTCAGGCCGGTGCCCTCTTCAGATCCTCGCTTCGCATACCATGGAACTCATTCTCCTCCCAGGCTCCGGGGCTTCCCCTCCCCCTCATTTTACGACCACCATAAAATTCATCTTTCCAAAGCACAGTCTGAGTCCTGCTGGCCCCCCGGGAAACCACCTCCTGGCCTGGCCCATGTTCACACTCCTCAGCGTGGCACTCAAGACCCCGGTCATCCCGGCTCGGCTCCTGCACTTCCTGGGGTCTGGACGATGGCCCACACCCAGCAGAGACAGGGGTTCTGCTCGAAACTTCTCTGTAGGCCTGGGTCTCTCCATGCACACAGCTCCGTCCACTCAAATCTAACCTGCTGTCCAGGGCCCACTGTCAAGCACGGCGCCCTCAAATAACCATTCTCCATCCTCCCCAAACAGCTGCATCTCGGCTTCCCCGCCCCGCCCATGTTCCCCAGCATCTGTTAGGATCTCTTTCCAGTCTACTTATCTATCTTCCCTACTATAATTTTTGTTGATTCAGTATTTATAGAGATGACCTGGCACCAGGCACTGAATTAGGCACCAGGGATACGGGGTGACTAGAAAGCTGTGGCCCCTGGAATCACAGACAGGAGCTGCAAGCTGGCATTACCGGGCACCCCGGACAGTGTTGTCCGCTGCAGTACAGGGCAGGGACCACAACTGCTCTCTCCAAGGACCAGAAAGCATTTCGTCGACATACAACGTGTCATTCCAGCAAGATGCTTTGTTTAAAACCCATAATTCTACAAACACAAGAGATCATTTTAAGTACGAAATTCGAACTACAGGGTATAATCTTTAAGTCCACAATTAAAGACTGTAGCAGAAGTAAAAGAAAAATCAAATCTTCCACTGAAATGCCTTAGAGTAAAATTTTCCATATTTTAAGACAGCCATTAGTTTATTTGCTAAACAGAAAATGGAAGAAAGAATGGAAAGAAAGAGAAACCACTTTGGTGTCAAGGGGACTTGGAGTGAATGAGTATGATTTTGAATGAATTTATGTACGCATGAATGAAGGAATAAAAACATCTGCAGGGTGTTGTTTTGCCACCCAGCGCCCACCGCTCCCAGCGCCGCCCAGCGCCCAGCATTCACAGCGCCGCCCAGCGCCCGGGATCCACAGTATGTCCAGCGCCCAGGATCCACAGTAGGCACAGCGCCCACCACTCACAGCGTCGCCCAGCGCCCAGGATCCACAACGCCGCCCAGCGCCCAGGATCCACAGCGCTGCCCAGCGCCCAGGATCCACAACGCCGCCCAGCGCCACCACTCCCAGCGCCGCCCAGCGCCCAGGATCCACAGTAGGCACAGCGCCCACCACTCACAGCGCCACCCAGCGCCCAGGATCCACAGCGCCGCCCAGCGCCCACCGCTCCCAGCGCCGCCCAGCGCCCAGGATCCAGAGCGCCGCCCAGCACCCAGCATTCACAGCACTGCCCAGCGTCCTCCAGTTCCCCACCCTCTCCGGGTGGGCGTGGGGGCTCCCCCTTACCTCATAGGCATCCTTGATGTTCAGGGGCTCCCCGCGCGCGGCCACGTGCCCCACGATGCCCTTGTTCCACTCCAGGCGGATGCAGTTGTTGGACGCCTCCTCCAGGGTGGACCCCTCCGCCACGTCGAAGAGGCGGCTGACGAGGAACTTGTCGTTGGAGCTGTCCTCGCAGACGAGGAACAGCGAGTAGCGGTCGGCGGAGATGAGGCCGTGGATGTGCAGGAATATTTTGTGGCACAGGGCCGTGACGTCCAAGTGGCTGGAGATATCTTTCACTAATTCCAGGAGTCTCGCGCACTGGTCCCCGTCATCCCGGTCAAAGCGCCGGGGGGTCAGCGGCATCTGCTCCTTCTTGTCCGAGTCCGAGAGGAAGCTCACCGTCCCCTCGGAATCCTTGACCACGATGGGCCTGAGCGGCCGGTCAAACTCCGAGGCAGAGATCTTCCTGGTGGGCGTCCCGGGGGCACTGCTCTCGGGGCGCGGGCTCTGCTGCGGGGGGCTCGGTTCCGCGGGGCCTCGGGCACCTTCCTTGCAGACCGGGATGGTGTGGACTCGCTCAGCAAACCACGCGTTGACCATCTCTCTGCGGAACAGAGCGGGCCGCAGTTACCTACTGGCCAGGGACAGGGCGCCCCCAGAGCTGCTGGAACCTCTCCCGTCACTCATTAGCTAACCGTCCCACTCGTCATAGAAAATACAAACAAGAGGGGTGAAGACAGCTGTATTTGCAAAACTGCAGAGGACAACTGGTCCAAAGGACACTGTCATCGAGAATGATATCTCTGCACACACATTTCTGGACATCTGCTCTGTAACACATCGAACCTGAGCCTGCGTCTCTCAAAATCAGTTTGTGTTCAAGTGCACATCACTGCTTTTGGTGATCATCTCAGGAAAACAGACACAAAACTTTTTCCGAAGTTAAATGGGTGAGAGTTAAAAACAAAGGTTTAACTAAATGTAGCTGGCTAGCTAAATGCTTGGTTTCAGGCAGCTTTATCTATACCACTACACACAGATGAGATTAAGAGGAAATGGGAAATAGAAACGATTTGAACTGGTATAGAAGGATTGTAGACTTCTGGAAATATTATCCTAACAATGCCCGTTCAATAATGGTAGATAGGTTATCTATCTACTGCTGTAAGGGATGGGCATTTTAAAGTCAGCAATACCTAAGTTTAAACGTTCAGTCCAAAACACTTAAGTCATTTGTTTTTTGTTTGTTTGTTTGTTTTTTATTTTTTTTAATCCTCACCCGAGGACGAGGACATTTTTGCATTTCAGATAGAGTGAGAGGGAGAGAGGGAGGAAGAGAGAGAGAGAAACACCGATGTAAGAGAGACACATCTACTGGTTGCCACCCGCATGACCAACCAGGGCCGGGGACAAACTGCAACTGAGGTACGTGCCCTTAGCGGGAACCGGACCCGGGACGCTCTGGTCCGTGGGCCGATGCTCCCACTGCTGAGCCAAACCGGCCAGGGTAAATCATTTGTTTTTAATGTACCCTCCTGTGAAAGAAATCTATTAGAGCTACAGGCTTCATGGTGGGTGATTTTTTTTTTTTTTAAACAAACATCCCAGATCATACACTTTCAAGGATTGGTGGATTCAAATCATCCCCCTTGGAAAGCTGTAATCTATGCTAATCAACAGTACCATTACTTTAGACATTTTAAAAACTCTTCTTTGGAGACGAACTTCTAAGACAATTCATAGGCCACATAAGAACATTAGTTTATCTGAAAGTTAGACTGGTTTTCATTAAGCCTTCCTCTCCAAACCAATAAAAAATCCAAAAACACCCTAGAGTACCGGATAACTTAAAATCTGGGTTACGCGTAAGACCTGACATTTTCTTAAATGAGAATTTACTTTAGAAAGAAAAACACTTGCTACCACTGCCGATATTTCAGAGCCTTTGCCCTTAGTGAGAGCAATGCAGTCTCTGCTTTATAATCACGTTGATTATCTTCACCGAGTGGCCAGGGTGCAGAACGTTTGACGATGCACTGTTTTGGGGAGTGTGGTGGTACAGACACTCTGTAATTTCTTTGGTTGTAGGAAAAATTGATATCACTTCTCTAGAAGGCAAACAGGCAACGTCCAACACATTTTAAAATGCATTCACCCTCTGTTTCAGAGATGTCACGTGTGTGGCAGCAGAACCAGGACAGTTGCTGCAGCATGGACTGTTACAGCCAAGACCAGAAGCAACCTAACCCTACCGATGGAAGGCTGGCTGGATGCACCGCGGCACGTGTGAGCAACGGAACACAAGGCAGACACGGGGCGGTGGTCATGTGCAGCCATGTGAACAATCTCCACGGTTTACTGAGTGAGAAAGAAGAACGCAGACAGAGGGACAACGAAGGGGCGGCCTTATGTCTCAGTCTTACTAAGTCTTCCATTTATGGGATGTTCCCTTACTTTCTTTTGAACAAAAATGCACTGTTTGGTGAATGTACAGTATTCTGAAATGCTCCCAGCCTAGAGTGCAATGGGTAAAAAAGGGAACACGGAGATTCAAGGATGACTCATCATTTCAAGGGATGGATACAGTTATAAAAGGCTTTTAAAAGTCTCTTAAAAGTAACCTAGTGGGTAGGTATATTGTACAGTTCACAAGTATGTACCTTCAGCACAGAGTTTTAAAAAATGTAAGTGTCCCACCCTGGCTGGTGTGGCTCGGTTATTTGGGTGTCGTCCTGTGCATCAAAAGGTTTCAGGTTCAATCCCCAGTTGGGGTGGGTATGGGAGGTAACGGAACCAGGTTTCTCTCTCATATCTTTCTTCCCTTCCCTTCCTTTCCTGTCTTCTTTCTTTCTTTTTCTCCTTCCTTCCTTCTTTAGTTCTTCTTCTTCTTCTTCTTCTTCTTCTTCTTCTTCTTCTTCTTCTTCTTCTTCTTCTTCTTCCTCTCTCTCTCTCTCTCTCTCTCTCTCTCTCTCTCTCTCTCTCTCCCTTCCTATCTCTAAGCATAGCCTCAGGTGAGGTTTTTAAAAATGTAAATGTCCTATAAATTCATGTTGTGGCTTAGAACACACTTTCCAGTGACAGCAAAATAGATCGATTAAAATAATGCTGTATCTTACAAACTTAGAAACGAGGGTGGCATACTGTGGGGGGCATTTATGCAACCCCTCAAAACTGCAGCCGCAGGGTTCAAGACATGGGTGTCCACACTGCAGGTGCCCGTCAAAGACGTGTGGAGACGTTTCGAATAAAACTGTCCGGAGAAAACGTGAGACAGGAAAAGAGCGGTGTGTCTACATTAACATATCTCCCGCGAATTTAACCTATGTACCCGGGACTTAAACGGTTAACTCAATATAGAAACAGGCATTTTAACTATTTCAGCTACAAACCTAAACTTAGCCACGATGATCTCTTACCTGCTGATTGGAAAATGGCGATGAACTTTTCTCTCTTTCAATCAAACCACTTACTTGAGGACGTCACATGGGCGTCTAAACAGAGAACTGAAATGGAGGAGACGGGATTCTTCACCTGTCACCTGGCTCCGGTCTCATGGCTGTGAGCTCCCTCATGGTCACAGGAGCAGCCTCCGCCTCCCCGGTTCCTCAACCCAAACATCTGGGGATGACTCTCAATTTGCTGCCTTCAACTCTCCTGTCCGGTTCAAGTCCTGCCAACTTGACCACCCCAACCTACCCCAATCTGTTCATTTCTACCTCCTGTCCTGCACCCAGCCCCGAACCCACCATGTCTCCCCTGGACATGGCCACCGCCCCTAACCGGTGTCTCCAAGGGTACCTTCCCCTTCCACTACTCACCACCCAGAGCAACGTGTCCCCAAGGGTCTTAGCATCTGAACGACACTACTTGGCTTCTCACTGAGCCGAGAATAAAACCCGACCTCAACGAAACCCCCACCCCAGTTCCTGTCGCCCTCTCTCTCTAAAAATCAATAAAAATATATGTATATATATTTAAAAATCTGAATCTGTCTATTTCTCTGAAAGCAGGCCATGGTTTAGAAATCTAAAACTATGCACTGAAAAGAATATAAAATAAATGTGTTCAAGAAAGGTCATTCTTAGAGCTGCTAGATTTAGCTAATAAAGACACAGGACACCCAGCTGAAATCGAGTTGCAGATAAACAGCAAGTAACTTTTTAGCAGCGGTAGCCTCTGAAATCCCACGGTAACCGGGCGTGCTGTATTTCAGCTGCCCCCCGAGTGTTTCTAGATTCTGTTTCCCAGCTGCTACTGCAGGTGCACAGACAACAGAGAACAGGTGCTTTCTGTGTAGCACATCAACGAGCTCCAGCCTGTGGACTCACCGACCCTGACATTATCGTCCCAAGAGCACGAAGGATCCTGTGTGCCCACCACACTGTGATCCTGTGTAGGATAACTGGACCTTCTGAAAGGTCTTGGATTAATCATTGGTGGCATCAAATTCCTCCTTAAATCAAGCCTTTTCATTTTACTTGCAAAACCACATCATCGAATGTATTTAACGGAAAACAAGTAACTTGCAATCTCCTTAGGAAAGGGAGAGGCGCTCCTCCTTCAGCTGCTAGTTCTCGGGACTGCAACGCACCGAAGGCTGTTTGCCAGCCACGCGTCCTGAATTCTAACCTAATCTTAGCGTTTGCTGCTCATGGGAGGTGTGGCCGGTGCGAGCAACTTTCTTCCTCTGAGTCTCAAGCTCATCCTCCGTGAGACAGCCAACAGCACCTGCGCTGCCCCTTAACGAGGGCTGGGTGCTGCTGTCTCCAGCAGGGCAGGAAGTCAAGAACACCTCTCTGGATTCTGGAGAGTTATCAGGAGAAAATGCTGGTTCTGGCTCCAAGACCACACAGGTGGGAGGCTGAAGCAAGGACCACCTCTCTGGAGCTCACAGCTGATCTTTCCGTTGTGGAAACAGGCAGCTGCAGGCACAGTCCCTGCGATGGCACAGTCCCTACGATGGCACAGTCCCTACGATGGCACAGTCCCTACGACGGCGAACTGCAGCAGGCCAGGAGGGGCCATCATGTCGGTCAACTCACTTTGGCCCTTTGCCCTTCGGCTTTCTTTTTTTAAAAAATTTTTTTCCTTTATTGAGTTTAGAGAGAGAGGAAGGAAGAGGGAGAGAGAGAGAAACATCGATGAGAGAGAACACCGACTGGCCGCCTCCTGCATGCCCCCCACTGGAAATCGGGCCCACAACCTGGGCATGTGCCCTGACCGGGAATCGAACCGGTGACCTCTTGGTGCAGGGTTGACATTCAACCATTGAGCCACACTGGCTGGACGGCTTCCTCAATTTTAGGCAGCAGACCTCCTTCCTCCTCACTTCTCACCCTGGGCTGCGGGGGTCAGGTCAGAGGACCCACCTGGGAGCATTTGTGTCTCCTGTACCCAGGCCCCATTCCAGTGGGGACCTGATCGTTTCCCCCTGAAGTGCTGCCTGGAGGAGGAGGGAAGGACGAGGGGGAGAGCGTCCTCCAGGTGCTACGAGACCACAGGCCGAGTGGCCTCGTGGGCCTGGAAGTCAGCGGGTCACTCCCACCCCGAGCACTCAAAGTCTGCGGCCGAAGCTGAGACTTCGGAAGGTTGTTCTTCATAGAC